ACAAAGTCTAGTTTCCAACAAATTAAGAACTCAAATTATCAATATTGATAAGCTATAATATAAAATAAGTACCTCCTATCTTTTCTATTTGCTAAGATATTGCTTATGTATTGAAACACACACAGTGGCCCCACCCACCTCTTTCCATTTTTGGAAACACTTCCTTATGTACATATACTTCTGTCTATGACATGTGAGTAACCAATTGAAAGCTCACCATATCTCCTCTGTGGCTTTCTTAGCCATTATGATGTTAACTCATTCTTTCAATCCAAGATTTCAAGTTGGTAAGTTGAGTTTCAGTTGGCTTGCAATTTATAGTGGAATTCTAAGGTACTGATATAGTAATTTATGATTTTTTGTTTATTTCAGCTGTAAATATAAAACCTAAAAAATGTATTTCATTTCACATCCTCCATTTTCAAAAAGGCTTAGCAACCTATGACAAGCAGCAAATGAGTAAAAAGGTCATAACTAGAAGAGATAACAGTTTACTATACTTCTTTATCCACCGTTCTATGTTTTAAGAAAAATAACTAAGAACTTATTTGTAAATAGCAATAATGTATATACATATATAATGTATTATAAATGAAATGTGACTGTATTTTACAAAATACTAATTCACTAAAACACAGCCATGACAGGTCACTTTGTAAAGGCCAGTTTTATATTCTTGGATATGGTAACATGAGTGCACAAGCATCACGCTACTCCAACTCTGTAATCTTAGCCAGACATGACTGGAAGGTCAATATAATACAAATATATAATGTTATGATACTTAAGCTATTTAGACTAAACATTTGTGTTTTTGTGTTATAATTTGTAGTCATTCTAGAATGAAAAAAACATAACTTATATTTATTTCCTAATTTTTTGGTGGTGTTTACAAGGTTGGCCAAATTGACAGACCCCATGTAGTTAGGGTAAAGAAAACAACACACAAAATGTAAAGTTTAACTGAAAACAAATGTATTTAGGAGGTTTTAGAGATTACACAAATAATGTCTGAGATTTTTGGGACGAAGAATAGTTTTTAATCATAACACGAAAATCACTTTGCACTTTGCAACAAATCTTTAGTAAAAATACTTCATTAAAAATTCTGATTTTTTATGTACAAAAGACTTGTAATCTTTACTAAAAGTCTATCAAATTTTGTTAAAATACACATACTGCATTAAAAGTTATAGTATAAATACTTAACATGTGCAAATGCTTATAAGAACTCATGTATCTTATACTGAGCTCATCACGAAAGGGTTAACTGCAACTATGCATCTGTCTGTTAGATATACACAACTGTTTAAGTTTAATGCGAGTGTTAACTTTAGTTATGTTAAGAAGTGATAGTTTATCACAGGTTTGCTTACATAACTGTGTATGAATCATATGTTGTGTAGTTCCATTGTTGTGATTTGGTGCTTGTTTTATTGCATCATGTTAATAGAACCTTCAAGATTTTCTTGTTGTTTTGATCAAGTATTATTATATCATAATATTTCGTATTGTGTAGAAAGTTCTAGGCATTGGTCAGGCTATATATATATATATATATATATACGCATACAAAACACAGTTCGAGTAAGTAAGACAAAGTCAGACAGTTAGATAGCTAGATTGGTGGTTGTGAGTTTAGCCGTAGAGAATGTATAACAACACTTTTTGTTTTAAAGTGAAATTATCACAGATTGTATTGTAACAAGAGAGTACAGTGGAATAATCTGTTTTGTGAATTGTATTCTAAAGTGATTGAACAAACCTGTGTGGACATTTGACGAAAAGAGAACTATTTAAAGCTTTTGATACAACTGTTGTAAACAACAGTGTAACATAAGTGACTGACTCCCAGTATACACTCCCCATGATACACCTCCAGTAAGATACAACCAATCAGAGAATAACTTTTGAATCTTGCAACCACATTCTATTAAATACCATCAAATTGTAATCCTCTAACAGCTTAGTTGCCAACCTTGCTACTACATTCACCTCCTAGGAAAAATACATGCCAACCTATCATCAAAGACAAGTCATAAACACACACAACATGAACCACCAACCATTTTAGAGCATTTTTTTTTTCAGATCACCAGACAATGACCAGGTGAGAAACAAGGACCTATTATGAATAACCTATTCTAAATTGTAGTAATACATAATTCTATTCTTTTCTATTTTATTCTATACATTGTAAACAGCAATTCAGTTCATACTGTTATAGTTCATTATTTAACGTTATACTGTTGTATAAAGTGCAATGTTGTATAATGCTCTATGCCTAATATGAGTTTGCTAAATTTTACTTTATTTTATGCTGTTGTTTTCCTATTTCTGTACTTTGATTTTTATGTAAATAAACACACTTTGGTATGATCTTGGTCTCTTCTGACTTGGTGCTTTTGGCTCCCTCGTTGGTGGGGCCTGGTGTGTGGCTGTTTGGTCTCTTGGCTGGTGATGGAGTGAGCTGAACTGTGTAGTGGTGCATCAGGAAGAAAAGATCAAAAAGGAAAAAAAGAATAGAGGATTTTGGTGAAGAGGGACCACACATCTCTGACCTTCGTGAAAACCTACCAAGTAACAACATCAAGTATTAGTAGTATTTATTCATTGTGATGTTACCTGCATGCCTCTTGGTCTACAACACAATGATTTCTGACTGACCCTTGCCTAATCTAACAGCAGGACCTATATCACTGTAATTACGTACATTACTTGTCAGTTCCCATTATCAAATCTCTATAGTTTCAATATTAATAAATAATATATACATACATTTAATGACAAAGTTTGAATTTATGCAAATATTATTTAATGGGTTTTTTCTGATACTTTTTTACAAAATATGCACTGAATATACAAGAATAATATGAAGGTTACCAATTATATCTCAACCCATACTGATTTTCTTTTTGGATTTGCTAGGAATCTGTAAAAAGATATACACGATTCTGAACCCTGTCTATTGTTGCAGCCAAAAGCCCAAGAGTGAAAAGGTGTTTTCTTTATTCTTGTTTTGTAGCCTTAATAGACCTGAGGTACAACTATTCAGGTGAGCTGGAAAGCTGAACCAGTACCAGACTGAATACCCTGCAGGAAGGGTTCATGGTAATGCAGACAGTTTTAATCGACCATCTTGGCCAGAAGAGTTCAAGCATTGTGAAAAAAAACAATAACTTTGGAAGTGTCAACAAGATGCTATTTCCAGAAATAGCAATCCGGATAATGAGTTGTTTCAGGAACAGAGAAAGGATCCAGATTGGAGACACTTTATCACACACATGGAGCAGTCACCAAAAAAACCAGCATGGGAGAAGATATCTTACACAAACCCTGAGATCAAATAATACTTGGATCAGTATAACATGCTGTATCTACAGTCCATTATATTGCAAAAAAGATGAGAAAACACAAATGGGACAAAAGAGTACTGGCAATCAATCATTCCTGATTCAATATGAGCAGTTATTTTGTGAGAGTCACAAAATGAAGAAGACACTTGGACTACTTTAGCAAAAGGTCTATTGGAAGTAGCATGAGGAATGGTGTCAAGCATGTAAAGTATGTGTTGCAAAAAAGGGACAATCTACACAGAGGAGAGTAACACTCAAACTGTACAAGGCTGATTCACTGATAAAAATATTGCAACTAACATCATGGAACTATTGGCACACACATACTCGAAACAAGTATATATACCGGTAGCCATGTATAATTTTACAAAGTGTGCAGAAGTTTACTCAATCCCTAATCAAGAATCAGCTACGGTAGTAAAAATGTTGGTTCATCGATTCTTCACAAGACTTGGCCTACCCATGGAACTTCACTGTCATCAGTGGAGAAACTTTGGATCAGTAATATTTTAGGAATGCCATGACTTAACAAATATAAAGAAAACCATGACAACATCATTACAACCACAATCAGATGGAATGTATCATCCAGAAATTAGACAAAAAACTTGCCAAGTTTAGTGAAGGAAATCATACCAATTAGAATCTGAAATTACCAGAAATATTCAGGATTACATAAATCCAAGCCTCAATAGAAAGTCAAACTCATTCCCCCTTGCTTTATTCAAAATGGTTCTCTCTCTCTTCATTTTATTTTTAATTGAATGTTTTCTAATTTTTCTAACACTATTCATTGTATTTTTATATTAGTAATTGTTCTAAAGATCTTTCAATTTGTCATTTTCATAGATTTGCTGAAGATGGAATATGTAATTCTGAAATGTTTATTAAAGGTGTTTACAGTTGTTACCATTGCTCTACTATTCATTATTAGACTTCATTTTCCACCAAAAGTATCAATTGCTTATACAGTGGAGTAATTGTCAAAAAACCTTAAAATTATGCTTTTTGTGGCATCTTGACCTCCTTCCATAATTACTAAAAATGACCAAGTCCACCATTTTTGTTTATCAATGTGAGGGGCCTGTAGAAAAGTATCTTTGTACCAAATCCCATGTAAGTTGATCAAAATATGGCAGAGTAATTGACCAAAAAAACCCCAACATTATGCTTTTTGTGAGCTCTGCCCCCCACTCCCAAAAAAAACAACAAGCAAATCCAACTTTGTGTTTTGCTTGTCAATGTGTTACATGCATGACAATTTGTATTTGTACCAATTTTCATCTTCATTGCTGTAAATATGACCTCATAGGAGCCCAAAATACATTTTTGGGGTTGTTTGACCTTTCCCCCCATAAAATCTTTAAAAAGGCCTGAATCAAAAAAATTATAAAGTATGAACATTTTGGACCAAGGTATAACCCTATCAAGTTTCAATTCAATCTGCCGAGAAATGAAGGAATGGCAGTCGACTGAAAAGTGTCTGGAAGAAGAAGAAACAATAGAAAAACAATATGTCTCTCTCTGCAGAGACATAACTAAATACATTGTCAATAAGCCTCATTCCAGTATAAACTAAAACCAGTATCAATGTGCTCATGGGTGCCTGCAGGAGGGGCAAGAGGGGGCATTGCCCCCTCCCTACATTTCACAAAAAATTGCACATATTATGATGTAAACTTAACATCATAGCTAAAAACTAAATATTTTTAGTAATTTTTATTAAAACTGTAAACTTGTGCTTAAGTACACATAACACATATTATTTTAGTCTGTTGACTTACACTGTTAAAGCTAATCTCTTACATAAATGTTTTGCATCCCCTTGAAAATATTTCTGTGGATGCCTATGAATGTGCCTCACTCCCATATAAACTATTACCACTGACAAAGTTACTTATTCTAATATAAACTATTATAAACCAATATACCAGTAGGCTATCTGCCTGGCAAAAATATAAGGAAATGTTACATTATAAGCTACTGACCGTTTATTGTCCGTAGCCTATATTGTACAGTGATACTTTTGCTTATTGCTGCATAGTATTTGTGACACTCGAATTTCGAATTTTTCAGAGATGGCCAAAGTTGCCAACATTACACAAATTTCTCCATAGCCATGTATCATTCTGGTGAGGCCATCAGTTTTAATGGTGTCAATACTAATCCTCATAATTTCAAACTTGTACTTTCAAACTCTCTTTCTCTAGAAAACATGTGCTAGCATAGTTGTGGCTAACGAAGCAAACAAAGTTTGCATCAACATTCTTGATTTAACCCCTCAATTTTCACGTTGTATTTTGAAGTTGAAAGCCATCTTTTGTTCTCTGAAATGGCAAAGTATTCAGACTGAATTTCATAAAACAAATTGAATAGTTTTAAACTGACTTTTTGGTGGTGAAATTAATAATTATGTTCAGATGTATGAAGTTTTTATTATAAACAAACAAAAGTTGCAGTTAAAATTCAAAAGTTAATATATGTTTTTATTTTACTAAGTAATTCTAGAAACACTAACAAAGGATTTTTTATACTTATTTTTATATGTTGTTCTTTTAAATAACTTTCTAAACTAAATGCAACTAGAAAAAACCACTTATAGGTTAAATTTTGATTTATTTCTGTAGTTTGAACTACCTTACTTGCACTAATACTTCACAGTTTGCTCCCTGATGAAGAAAGATCTACCTTTTGAAAAGGCTCTGTTTGTTTGAATTGCTGTCTTTAATTGATTTTTGAACCAACGTGTTTTCATGAATGCGCTATTACTAAATATCAGTACCAGCTGATGTGGTTGGGTAAACATCAGATATCTGTATAAACCACGAAAATCTGAAAATCGGTGCAGTCCTAACTAAAAACCACTCTCAATATGCCACATTCCAATATGAATTAAAATCACTGTCATTCACTATAAACAAAAACCAAGGTCAATATTCCTCATTCCAATATAATCTAGGACACTGACAAGAAAACCCATCCTAATATAAACTAATACTACTGTCAATGTCATTCCAATGTAAACTGGAACCAATATCAATATGCTTCATTCCAATATAAACTAAAACCACAGTTAAAATGCCTCATTCCATTATCAACTAACTACTGTCATCGTCCCTCATTCCAGCATAAGTAAAACCACTGTCAATGTGTCTCATTCTATTATCCATTAAAACCACCGTCAACATGTGTCATTCCAACATAAACTAAAACCACAGTCAATATGCCTCACTTCAACACAAACTAGGTCCATTCACAAAAGAACTCATTATTTTATACACTAAAACCACCATTAACATCCCATTATAATTTAAAACTACAATGAACATTTCTCATTCCAATACACAAAATATACATTGTTAACAGACTTACGGAGAAACGAGAAAATTAGTGTTGCTTGTGATTTAAGAACGTAAAAATAAAATACTGTCTTATGGGGAAATGCAATCTAAATATTTTTAGCTGAGATGTCAGTAAGTAAAAACAAAATATATTGTTACCAGTCTCACAAATAAAATTGTGTGTTGTGAAACTAGTGGGTGAAGATCCAAAAAAATGGGATGCGTGTTGTTAAGAGTTTGGAGAAAAGATATCGTTAAGTATTGTTTCTATATAAAAAATGAGACAATATTTACACTGGGTGTGATAATTAAAAATACGATTCAAGTTCGGCAGTAGACTAAACATTTTCCCAACACTCATTTCAGTAAAGCTAAATCTTATACCCACCGAATCAAAAAAATTCTCTGCTACTACTCCTCATATCCAAAAACAGCGATTTCTTAACTCTGCTACATAATAACAGTTGTCCAACAGTCAAGAAACGTAGTGATGAAGGTAATTAAATCTTACTGGTTTACACAAAACAAACATACAGCACTCCAGACTTCACATACATTATTCGTCCCTCACGAAAAACAGTGAACGTAAACTGCGAATCTTTGTTCATATGAATCTATAGAGAAACCACATGCCTTGTGACGCTGAGTGTCATAAAAACCTCGCACGTAAAAACCATTGGACGAGAGCAGTTGGTTCTCTCTACACTAAGTCCGGTGAAATGAGGTCAAGTTATACTGCACACGCATCCCCGCCAACCAATGATGTTTGTCCTAAGAACGCTAAGCCTAAACAAAGAATTGAGTAGGGGATAATGTGAAGCTAGATGCGGCGCGAAGTCCCGTCAGGGAAATGCATGCGTGAGTCATCAATCCCAA